CTCCCCCCTTATGGCCCCCCCAACACCCTCCCCAGCTCAGGCTGAGTAAGCCTCAGCCCGCAGCTTGCTCCTTCTGGCTTCTCCCTTCCCCATCCCTCACCTCTGCTGACAGCCCCAGACCTGGGATGGGGCTGGGCAGGGGAGAGGGGCTACTCCTTAACTGGCCCCTCACCTGCAGGCAGGCCCAATCCCACCCACCACTCCCCCAACCCAATAGGTGAATGTCTGTAGGCTGGGGGGGGCGTGATCTAAATCATGGTGCTTTATGTAAAGAGCCATGAGTTAGAGCAGAGGCCTGCACATCTGTCAGCATCTGAGGATGCTGTCTCTTTTTTTCTCTCACAGCAAGGGAAGGCAGACTTACTGGCACAGACATCAGCCATGAGCCACTATTACGGTTGCAACACCAACAGCAAGTTTGCTGCTGTAGACAACAGAGCCAGATATAGATTCTTCCCTAGACAGTTTAAAAGCCAAGTCCCTGACCCTGTAATCAGAGCCTCCGGATACCAAAGCAACCAGGGTGTCCCTCCAAAATTAGTGGGACTCTGCAAAGAACAAGGGCCTGTCTGCAAGGATCAGACAACAACCTTGGATAACGTCTCAAAATATAGTGGTCCAGATGACCAGGCAGTAGAGAAGTAACTTTGTTAGAATCATTGTATTGGTTTTCCCCATCATCCTCAGGGTATAAGGCTCTCAGTGATGGGCCTCCTGAAAGAAGGTATGTTTTGGAGAAGATTTGAAAAGCAACAAAGGATGCTGACAGATGTGCAGGCCCCTACTCTAACTCATGGCACTTTACATAAAGCACCATGAGTTAGAGTGACCCCCGCCACCCAACAGATGTTCACCATGGAGGGGGGAGGGGGGAATAAAGCCTGCCTGCAGGTGAGGAACCAACTAAGGAGCAGCCCCTCTTCCCAGCCTCACTCCCCTCCCAGCAGGAAAAGAAAGGGGAGGGGGAAGTCAAAAGCAGCAAGCTGGAGTTTGTGCAGCCTGAGCTGGAGGTGGGGTTCACAAGGTGCAGGGCAGGGGCTCTGATCCACCCATCCCTCCTCCAGCTCAGGCCAGGCAAAGCCCATCCAGCAGCTCACTGCTGCTGGCTTCCCCCTCCCTCCCTGCTGACAGCCCTGGGGGTGGGGCTGGGCTGCATGAGCCCAGCCCTGAATGTGTGAAAAATTAACTGGAGGGAACACAAGTTCCCTAAGGTGCTCTAAAACAGAGCATCTTCATCTGATATCTCATTGAAGGGTTAATTTTTCATGTGATCAGCTGCTTTAAGAGCACTCTGCAGCCATGCACCTGTGTTATGGTATGGCCACAGAGTGTTTTTAGGGACCTGATCGTGTGAAAAATGTAACTTGTATGTATTGCTGCATCTTTACTAGTAAGGTCAGGCTGTTTTGTGGAGCCTACACCATACATTTCAGACATAAACTGTATGGATATTATTATTCACAAATAAACTGCAACAGCAGGATCTTAACTAGGGATGTAAATACTGATTAAAAAAAATATCCATTTAACCTGTTGTAATTACAATGGTTAAAAGATTAATCAGTATGGCAACCCCCAGTCTGTTCCAGATGGGGTCGCTTAGGCCCAGGTGGCAGGGTGCTCTGACCCAGCCCAGCATCACCGGTGTGCTTCAAGCCCCTGAGATGCAGTGGGGGACTCAGTGGCTCCCTAGGGTCCTGTGTCAAGACAACCCGGGCAGGCAGATGGGTCCTCTCTGAGCCGGGGTCTGGGTGTGTTGGGGGGCTGAGCCACAGGCCCAGGGGAGTTGTCCTGTACCCAGTTACTTCTACCTTGCTCCTGCCAGGCCCTGCAGCAGCTGTAGCAACAGAAGGCACTGCATTTGGCTGGGTGCAAGGATGGGGACAGGCGCGGTGATGCTATGCTCCAGTCTGCAGCTAGACAGGAAGCAGAGAGGAAAGCCCTGGTCTGATGCCTGCCTCGCCCCACCCTGCTGTGGGGAAGGGGCTGCACTGGGAGCCGGGGGTCAAAGCAGGCAGCATAGCCCAGAAAGCTGTGGGCGGCAACAGCAAATAAGGGGCTTTACCAGCCTGCTGCAGCCACTAGTGCACAACTTCCTGGGGCCAGCTGCAGCAGCACAAAAGGGAGAGGGGACGGAGAGTACCTAATAGCTAGGGTCTGTGGATCCCAGTGCAGCCACTTGCAGCCTCTCCACTGCCTGCCACGAACAGGGTGGGCTCAATGGCGGGCCGCAAGGGCCTTCCTGGAGTATGGGCTGCTCATAGCAGGGAGGCTGTAAGCAGCTTCACTGGGGTCCCCAGAGCCTAGCTATTAGGTACTAGTCACCTCTCCCCACTTCTCTCTCCCTGCTTCCAATTCTTGCTGGGGCACTGCAGGGCTTCCCTCTACCCACCGGGACTGTGCCCTGGGCCTGGGCTAATGATAACCGGTAAGCTACAACCAGTGATCACTGGGCTGATCAATTTAACTATTCACTTCCCTACA